ATAGGGTGAATACATCTCATTACACTGATTTACTGGTAGTCTCGAAACCCTACTCTAATACGAGTAATAAATTGTCCGAAGGACTGTCTTTGAATGAAGACTAATGATGGCGTGGTGCTATTCAAGCCTTTTTCCCTTGTTCAGTGGCTCTCTTTTATTAAGCACATCCAACCGCTACAAATGATTACTTCCATTCAGAATGTTATTTCTATAGACCCAGATGTTGTGGTCTCTATTTTGATTGCAGTATCCATTCGATGTATGGAAGTGGTGTGATCGCGTTTTCGCAACTTGGCGAAGCTCTCGGGCGAACTTAGTTGGACATACCTTGCCCGAAGTTCTCTGATATAGTAGTTCCCATATTTCCCAGTGTCGGACCGTGGATTTGGTACATTCACAGACAATTCGCCGACAATGTAGTCGGCATCGTCAGTGAGTCTTGCCATTCTCAACACCAAGCTACAAGTGAGTGTACTTCACTTGTCTCCTTGACGAGATGCAGCTTAGCGCTGAGAATGGCAAGACTCACTGACGATGCCGACGAAACGTATGGAAAGGTACCAAGTCCAGAGTCTGAAGGTTGTAATTATGATAACTGCTATAGCAGATGCGTCCAACTAAGTCGTACTGACAACATGAACACGTTGCGAAGACGAGATCGGACCATTGGCCTAATCTTACGCTTGGATGTGAAGTCCCGGTAGCCGCAAAACGCTGATTTGTACCATACTAGTGCGTGTCCCGTACTATCCACATGCTCAGGCATATGGAACCATAACCCTTTGCAGGACGTGTTGTGTTTAGATTACCCCTTTCGGATGGGTCATCAGGTCTCGCCTCACACAGACCTTACCACATGGGCACAAAGCCTTGAAACACCCTGACCCGGAAAGAGAGTCCGGAAATGGTATAAATATAAATGCCAGTTTCTCTTCATACATTTTCCCAACATTCCCCTTTTTTGTAATTCACACAATTTTTCGCAAACAGACAGGACGACAGCAGTACCAGCAACCGAGTAGAGTGGTCCAACATCCTGTCCTGCTCTAACCAGCTAATCTCATTCATTCTCTAAATAATAATTAAAAGGTAGCCTATTAAACATTTTGGATAAATGTTCAGCATTAATATATCCCGTAAGTAACCGATTTCCTGCTACCAGAAGTTTACGTTTTATAGACGCAGCCTGCTTATTATCATCCACTTCATAGCCCCTACTTTTGCCTCATTTACATGGTTGGAAGAGAAGTTAATGGGGCGAAACCACGTGCCTGGACCCCCTAAACACACCTCTACCCAATTCCTTCCCCTCCTTACTCAATGGGACACCGAAAAATGATAACTTATCAACCTTTTCTCGTGCCAGAGTAAATTTATCAATGCC